TCATTAGTAAAAATTTTACATAAATATGATAGTTGTCTCAAATAATGTCACTATCGTTCAGAAAATTTTCAATTTATTATTAAAAAAATAAAAATTTATTCGATTAACAGTAAATATTTTTTTAAAATAACTTATTTCTATTGCTTTATTTCACTTTAATTTAATGAACAAAAATTAATCTGATTCTTGCATCTTATTTATTAAACATAGAGGCATATTGACAGGGAAATGATTGGTTGCGCGTGATAATACAGACCCATAGGTTTGTAAAGGCGGGCAAGTTAGTAATTAGTAGAATTGATATAACAATTAGTAATTAGGCTAGCGATGTGACGTAAGATAATAGGACTATATAAGTATCAATTGTAGTTTATTAATAATACTAATTTGTAGTATTGATGATGTAAGCATATGTAAAAATTGAATAAATAAGAGGTTCGATCTTGTGGTCGAACCTCATCTTCGATCCTTCTTAGATAAAACCATAGCCTAACTTGTAAAATGTTAGAGCCTTGAAAATTAGAAGGTGGGAGCTGTTGCTAAGTGAAGAAGCAAGGTGTGAAAACAGGAACGAACAGCATAATAGATTTAAACAAACATCTGGCCAGAATTTAGAGTTATACACGCTTTAATTTATCCCTACAACACATATTAAACTTAACATCTTATATTTTCATTTTCTTATTAAACTTCACAATATATAAATTATTTTAAACTGTGGTTTATATTAAAACTAATAGTTAACTACAATTTTAGAACAAACTATAGTTTATTTATATTAATTGTAAATTGTAGTTTACATCTCAATGTCAGTAATACCTCTTGTAACTTATACATTTAGATCTTATTATATTGTCTGGAATCGTGAAAATAAACTACCCAACCTTTTTCAATACTATTATTTTGTAATACATTAATTGGATTTCAATTAAAAAAATTATAAACTTTATTAAATCTTTTGACAGCATTTTCTTAAATAGCAAATTAAAATTTAATTCAGAAGAATCAAAATACTGTATGATTCATATTATCACATATTTAGAATAATATCAGCAAAAATTGTTTTTAACATCAAAATTCGTGACAATTGAAATTTTTTGTTATATTGTATTGTATAAAAATTATGTAATTAGTAAGGATTCCTTTTTTAAAAAGAATTAATTTTAGCAAATAATAATTTATAATTGAGTTATTAAAAAAAACAAGTTTTTTAATTGATTTGTTTATTTAAATTTAAGCATTGTTTCATGCATATTTAAATGTTCTGTTTACCATTTAATATGGGCAACATTCGCAACGATGACAAATCTTAATGTTGAACCATTTGAAAATTTTATCCTAGAACTACAAAAACAAGTATTTCAGATAAAAAATTTAGAAACGAATTTAAGAAATAAAGTCAATGATAAAATTGTAAATACACACACTAGCTATAGTGTTGAAGAAGAATATGCTATTAGTTTTGATGATTTAAAAAATGACAAATTTAAAAACTTACGTAGCAAATATAATATTCTTATTAGCGCTTTCAAATCTAAATCAAAGGACAAAGAAACAGACTTTTTGTTTAAAATATTTTATATGGTTTTTAATATATTTCAAGAAAATGGTTACTTAAAATCA